TTAGTATTTTGGCGGCTCGAAGTCAATTTAGAAAAATTTACGAAAACACAAGGTTTTTAGTCTTTTGTTTCCGATATATTTCGGTTACGCTTCGGTAACCGTCCTCAGGGCAAATTGATTTACACGTCCGGACTGTTTGACGTCGAGTTTGGTACACGTCAAAATACTAAATTACAAGTAGGAATGTCGCAAAACCCATCATTACATCGTTTGAGGTTTTATTTCATTACTTAGTAAAAAAACACATAAAATACTTTTGATCGGTTTTACTATGCAAATACTCCTATGCGGGGCGGCAATATCCCGTATGTTTGTTGGAAATAAACTTGTATGTTCAAGGATATTTGAACCATATATACACACATACTTATGTTTCTGTAGTTATTTTTATACACACATATTGATAAAACTTTCTTTTTTAGATGCTCGGCTACATAACTGTATTCATCACATTCGTAATCAAACCCATTATACGTTGCGTTTGCAAAAAAATGGACGGTATTTTAAAATTGGTTATATGTGACATGTTCTATTTCCTCATGTTTTTTGGAGCTGTAAATGTCTGGCGCGGAATTTGGAATCTACTAGATATATACGTATATCCTGGTAAGTATTGCAACTGTTCGTAATAAAAATCTTTATCCGGTGCCTCATTCGCGTTCAGTCGTCGTACGTTCATCGCAAGCATAAAGCTAAGCGTACACGGCACAAAAATCTCTCCAGAGTTAAACTAAAATATAAAAATTTCCCCTCTCAATTAAGTTTACTCGGTACAGCAACTCTAGGAGATAATCACCCAGCTAGAGTTAGAATAGAGAAATCTTAGCTTTTCTCTATCATGTACTCTACAGGCTGTATATCGATGGCTGGTGGAAGATCGACCTATCTCGGCAGCCAGTTCAAAAACGCCCTATCTCAGAAAACTTTTCAAGAACGCCCTACTTCAGAATTTGATTGAAAAACGCCCTTTTTCGGAATTTTATTGAAAAACACTATATCTAAGAATTTGGTTGAATAACGCCCTATCTCAGAATTCGGTTCAAAAACCCGCTATCTCAAATGAAAATACATTGAAAATAAGCTGAAATAGGGCGATTTTGATTCGGTAGCTGAGATAGGGCGCTCTTCAACTAAATTCCGAGATAGGGCGTTTTTCAATCAAATTCTGAAGTAGGGCATTCTTGAAAGGTTTTCTGAGATAGAGCATTGTTCAAAAATTTTCTGAGATAGGGCGATTTCGAACTGGCTGCCGAGATAGGTCGATCTTCCACTCAGTCATCGATATACGGTAGACGATTGTTACTTTTCCCCTAGAGTTAAGGCGGATCCCCACAGCATGCATATACGTAAGCGTGCGTTTCACAGAAAAAATTTAATATACAAATTTTTATGAAAGCACCTACATAGCAACGGATGGAAATGTAAAAAAATTTTAAGAATTTTAATTTCTAAGCGTAAATGTCAAACGCACGCATACGGATACGTATGCTATGGAGGCCCGCCTTTCTTGTATGTACCTTAGGGTGCCCATCGAAAATGATTTTTTTTGGAAATTTCAAGACCCTACCCCCTAATTTTATTCGTTTTTATGAGAAATATTATCGCCTATTTTTATAGATTTTTTAAAGGTCAGTTAGAGGTCGCGACCTGTCGATTTAGGTCAAAGAATACGAATTTGTAGATTTATGAGTTTTTGAATGACTACTTTTGGATACATAGGCCTTTAAAATGGCATATACAGGGCTGTTGTGGAAACCAAGCCGGATTTGCTCCATTGTCGGAATTCCAAACCAATTCCGATTTTAGAAGGTGTCACAGAATCTAATTGGATTTGGCTCTTTTCGAACATACACAAAACCCATATTCGAATCAGCTGTTTTGCTAAGTTCAATTCTTTTCAATTTGCATTTGTGAAGATTTTGACAAAGTTGTTGAAAAAATTAAATAAAAGTGAAAATTAAATAAAAAGCAATGGCCGCAGCAGTAGCAGCTTTTTTATTGATGCAGGAAGAAGTTTCTGAGAAGGTGAAACGGAAAATTTTAAGAGACCGCAGCAATCCGTTGGAGCTGCCAGAGTCAGCGTAAGTACATATCCTTTTTAAGCCCGACAATTTTAGTAACGCCTCAATTATCATACAGATTCATTGCACAATATCGCCTGAACAAAGACGCATTCATTATGGTGCTAGATATCGTAAAACCCCACTTGCCTGCATCTAGCATTCCACCATTGCTAAAGCTAGCGGCAGTCTTGCGATTTCTAGCAGAAGGTTCTTATCAGCGGTCGGTTGGGAATGACTCTGGCATAAGCCTAGGTAGAAGCACAGTGTCACTAGTTCTGAGTGAAGTGCTGAAAATTATGGAACGTTTAATTTGCCCTCGTTGGGTGAAGCTTACAATGGATAGCAATGAGAAGCTTAAATCGAGAAATTATTTCTACAGCAAATTTAAGATTCCCTCTATCATTGGCTGCATCGATGGGACACACATTAAAATTATAAAGCCTAGTGTGGACGAGCATTTATTTTTTAATCGCAAAGGATATTTTAGCATGAATGCTATGATTGTAAGTAATAACTATTTTGCTTAACGTGTTTTCCCCCAACTTGTTTCTACTTTCGTCTAAAGATATGCGACAGCGCTATGAAGATACGTGCGGTAGATGCTCGGTATCCTGGCTCCAGCCACGATGCATTCATCTGGAATATTAGTGACGCACGGCAAAGTTTCCTTAGGGAGTACGAATCGGGCGATCGAGCATCAAGACTTTTAGGAGATTGTGGATATGGCATTGAGCCCTTCCTTTTGACACCATATAGAGACGCATTGCACAACTCTAAAGAGTACAAGTTCAACATGGCGCACTCTTCAGCTCGAAATATTGTGGAGCGTACTATAGGTGCGTTTGTTTATTTACAAATCCAAGATATTGAATTAAAATTAACAATATGCGTACATATGTAGGTGTATTAAAAAGCCGTTTTCGATGTTTATTGGGGACGTTGCACTATTCCCCGGAAAAAGTAATACAGATTGTCAACGTGTGCTGTGCATTGCACAATATCTGCAGAAGCTACAACATTAATCCTGACGAGGAAATTTCTCTCCAACCAAATGAGCCTGCTGTGGACAATGTTGTACAACCATCGAATCCATCGCTACAAAGTGAAGGGAAGAGAATAAGAGACGAAATAGCCAATAATTTGCAATAATTTTTCAAAAATTGGTTATTGAAACTAAATTATCTGTTTATTTCAAATGTTAACTTCAAAGTACCTGAGATGTTACAAATATACTTACATAAGTGTCACGTGTGTTTATACATAAAGCTGTGGTCAAAGATTTAGCACCAAAATTCAAAATAATATTGTTTGGAACTTACGTTTAATTATTTATTTTTAATAATATTCATTTAAAATGTAAATAAATCTATAACAAAAAGCACATCAATAAAAGATTAAACGCTTGCGGAAGTTTCACAAAAATTTAATCAAACTTAAAAAAATTGTAAAAATTACAAACTTTTTAATCAGAATTTTTAGACAATTTTTGGGTACGCATTCTTGTAGCCCATTAAATTCTTATTATAATTAGTCTTATAAAGTGCCAAATTCTAGTCCCTAAGAACTAAATTTTTTTTTGCCAAAAGTGTTGAGCATTTTCTTCCATATAATGCTTGAACAAAATCTACTTTTATATGGAAGCAAATGCTCAACACCTATTAACTTTTATTTATGTGGTTTTTGTTATAGATTTATTTATATTTTAAATGAATATTATTAAAAAAAAAAATAAATAAACGTAAGTTCCAAACAATATTATTTTGAATTTTGGTTCTAAATCTTTGACCAAAGCTGTACATTGTATGTATGTACGAGTATATGTACATAAACAATAAAAACTCTTAAATTTTTTCTTATACTAAGAACGCAAGGTACGGTTTACAACGTTTAAATACTCTTATTATTTAAATTGAGATCACTAATAAATAAGCTGTCTTTATTCGGGAAAAATGAATTCTTCAGTCAATTAATTATTCATTTACCCAAGATTGCGATAAAGCCAATCATCACTTGAATAATACACCCCGTTGCTAAATTTTCAAATTATAAACTATATATGTACATACATACATATCGCACACGATCTTCAAAAGTGACACAACTCAAAATTTGGCATTTTCGAAATAATGCACTAAAAATGTACACAGAGCTTTTATTTACCTTTCAGCAAAAGCTGTAGCAAATTTTTGTTATAATTTGTTGAAAAAACCTAAGGTAAAGTCCTCCTTGCCCATATGATTAGCGGGTGTATGAATTAGCCCCCACTGAATTAACCCCCACCGGGCAAAATGACTTAAGCCCCACCAATTTTACAACGAAATTAAAAATGGCGGAAAGTGGGGCTAAAGTCATTTTCGTGGGGATTAATTCATTTTTTTTTCGTGGGGATTCTGTCATTTTTGGTGGGGAAAGATTCACTGAGACATTGGTGGGGCTTAAGTCATTTTGCCCGGTGGGGGTTAATTCAGTGGGGGCTAATTCATACACCCATGATTAGCATGTGCTAAGAAATAGTTTTTCGCCTTTTCTGACGAACGTGTAATTTTGAGTTGTGTCTCTCTTGAAGACGGTGTGCGATATGTACAGAAGCTCACAGCCAAAATGATAAACCCGACAAAATGTTTATTTGGTTAATATTCACTAAATTTTTTATGTACATAGTACAACGTCAAAAACCATAATAACCAACATTCAAAACTTTGTACAAAAAATGGAAAAGTCGCAAATTTGATCACATGTTTTAGAAATATGTCAGGTATGCAGTCTTGCATTAAATTTAAGTGTAGTAATAAGGTGCAAGTTCAGCTGCTAAGAAAAACTTAGTGAATATTAACAAAATAAACATTTTGTCGGGTTTATCATTTTGGCTGCGAACCATTGCCTATGCTTGTAGGTACATACATATATATGTACATATGTTTAAAATGCAAAAAATATGAAAAGCTGGGAAAAGGAACTATTTAAAACAAAATAAGGTATTTAAAGTATTTGAATAATGAAAATATTATCAATGGGGCGCAGTAATATTCAAAATTAAGTAGATATTTAAAGTTAGATGTAGCTCTTTTGACCGATAACCCATTAAAATTTAAGCCAAAAAGCTGCAACTAACTTTAAGCATCAACTTAATTTTGACTATGAATACACTCCAATCGAATTCGAATAAATTCGTTTGTGATAAAGGATTATATTCCGTTTTGATTAGTGAAAAATTAAAAGTAATTCGGTAAGTTATTAAATTTTTAACTAAAAAATTAAGCACACAACCCTAGTTATAACCATTTAGTTGTCTTTGGAAATCAAATTTTTTGATGCTGATGTCTAGTCGCTGTTTTTCTATTTGATTCTTTTCTTCCATGACGGTTAATATTTGCGTACAACATTCTACCATGTCTTCGACTGCTCGATGAATATGTGTAAAACTTTTTGCGTTTTCATTGCCAATTTTTATTAGCTCATCCAATTTCTCATTCATTTCCATTTTTATTTCGTTGTCCTCTTTCAAAAATTTTTTTAAACTCTCTGCTGTGCTCTCCACTCTTGGCCTTTTTGGAGTGCTTCCAAGGCTCCATTTGTCGCTTTGATGACGTTGACGGAATATCGCTGTTCGTTTCATCGAGTACTTCTTCGATAAGGTCATCTGAAGGTTCGACGTGACCAATTGCAACGCCTGTAACACCATAAACTGAACGTTCAATTCCACATATACGGACGATTGATTCTTCCAATTGCGTCAGTTGATGTTTAGTGAAGGGCCCACCACCAGTCGCTCGAGCTTCATTTTTGTTATGTGATAATTTTTTTCTTATCTCACTTTTCCATTCAGTCCATGCCTAAAAACAATAAAATAGTAGAACTTTCATTGGGGCTACAATATGCAATATACCTTCTTCCACCCATTAGCGTCCTTTTGGGGTGGGCCTGCGCTATTTAAAGAATTTGACAGTTCTTGCCAAAGAGCGTTAACGAGTGCCTTATCTCGTTTTGTGTAGCCCTTAGCGATGTCGGGGTTATTTTCCATAAACTCCACGATTATGGAATTTTGAACGCTATTCTTGTGTTTTCCCCTAATATTAAAATTTAAAATTAATGTTTCTATGAATTATTGATTAATATACTCACATAAAGCAAAATAAGAACCTGCAGAATGCGAAATAACAAAACGAAAATACAATTCTGACAGCGATGTACTGCTTGGTTTGTTTCCGATAAGCAAACCGATAAAATTGGTTCCTATGACACAAAAAACCGACTTTATTTCCGATTCGAACATAAAACCGATAATATCGGAATGCAAGACACCAATGGGAATTTTTCATCGGTTTCAATTCCGATTACGATAAAGGTCAGATTCTACAACAGCCCTGATAATAATCTATTTTCGGACTTGGCCTGTTGGGATTTTTTATCGGGTAAAATAAAAAAAATAAAACCCTAATTCTATTAATTTTTTAAATTTTGACCATCACAATGTGTATGCCAAATTTCGTTGAGATCGGTTAAGTAGTTTTTGAGATTCACGTATGTATATGTTATAAGTGGGCGGTGTCACCCCCATTTTCCTAAAATTTTTGGAAAACCAAATTTTTTGCTGAAGAGCGATTGTATATATCAATTTTGAATAAATATTGAAGAATTCCTTAGCCACACTGCTCAAAAAATCTGAAAGTCCGGTACATACACAATATTAATTCAAGGCCGTATTTCAGAAAAGTCGACTTACTTCGACCATTTTTATGCGATTGCAATAAATGAGCTATCAGTTTATTTAGAAAAAAATTTAATTTTAGACAGTACTACATATTTTGAAACAGTGGAAATTATCGATGGTTAAAATTAAAAAAAAAAATTAAGAGAAATATGAGTTTTTTTTTTTATTTTAACCGATAAAAAATCCGAACAAGACAAGATTACACTGTAGAGCACTCGGCTGGGTATTGGACCAAACCAACTTTTTTAAGAGATTGATTCATAAGTAAAAAAATTAATTTCTCCGTTTTTCGAAGTTAGCCTTCAATATCGAGATATGGGCTTTCGAAGTTCGAAGTTGGACCTTTGTTAAAAAAGTATTTTTAATTATTGCATGTAAAAAGCAAAAAAGTAAAAATACAGACGTGGTCTGCCATTTGCTCTTATTTATATGGTATATAACTTTTTTTGTGAAAGCTTATATTATTGCTATAACGAGTCAAAAGTCAGACCCTCGAAAAATTTAAAACTTAATATTTCAGAAAATTTTGAACTGATTTTTAAAATATTCATATCGTTGTAAAGGTGATTTAACCCCCTTTCTTGTGCAATGCACATTTGTTTACTTCGTATATAAAACTTTGAGAAAAAACACATTTAAAGGAAAAAATACATTTTTTTGTATAAAAAAATATTTTAAACGAAAAAATTAGTAACCGATTCTCAACAAATTGGTATAGTTGTAAATGCGATTAAACCCCCTTTACTTTGATATGCATACTTGTATACTTCGTGAATAAAAATTTGAGAAAAAACACTTAAAAGGAAAAATCATCTTTTTTCTTATCAAAAAATATTTTAAACAAAAAAATTACTCACCGAATTTTTAAGAATTAACATCGTTGCCAAGGCGATTAAACCCCCTTTCGTCTAATGTGCATATTTTTATACTTCGTATATAACAATTTGAGAAAAAACACTTAAAAGGAAAAATTCGAACTTTTTATTATAAAAAAAATTACATAAAAAATACTAAATTGTAATCTAATTAAATAACGTATATAAACAAAATAAATAATTAATAGTGTTTTAAGCGTTAAATCTTCCTTGTCCCCCACAGCCCTGTTAAAATAAAGCAAAAGTATATGTAACAGAAGTCTAAGGCATACAAAAATATAAAAACACCATGGTTTTTGGTTTTTTACATTACAGGTTATATGTATGTATATAAAACTTAAAGGTAATTTTCTGCTTTATTTAAACAAAGTATTCAATTGTGTTACTAATTAGTAATTTTTTTGTTTAAAATATTTTTTATACGAAAAAATTGATATTTTTTCCTTTTAAGTGTCTTTCTCCAATTTTTATATAAAAAGTATACAAATATGCATATCAGAAGAAAGGGGGTCTAATTCCCTTTGCAACGGTACCAATTTTTTCAAAATCGGTTCGTAAACAATTTTTTTTTTCCTTTAAATGTGGTTTTTCACAAATTTTTATAAACGAAGTTTATAAATATGCATTTCGGAAGAAAGGGGTTTAACCGCCTTTACAACGATACTCATTTTTTAAAAATCGGTTTGTTTATTTTTTTTGTTTAGAATATGTTTTTTTATAAAATAAAGGTATTTTTTTCTGTAAATGTGTTTTTTTTTATTATTTTTATATACGGTTAGCCGGCCACGGATGCGCGAGGCTTTGCCACGCGCTGAATGTATGCATATGTATGCAAATTTACGTATTTGGAGAAAGAAATCATATGTCATCATGTACTTCGTTTATTGTATACATAAAAAATATTGTCTGTGTTTTGTCTAAATCCGTTCAGTAGCGTGGTTAAAATATCTCGCCTTTCCCTTACACTATGTATAGAAGATAGTAATTTTAAATAGGTGGCAACCCTACTATAAAACTTTAAGTTTTTGTACATGCGAAGGCCATGCACTTTCATTTGGTATCTTATTTTTTTTATCCAACGAATGGTAAAGACCTTATAGTTTTCAAACAGGTGGCAATCCTACTCAGAAAAATAATACATTATTACACATCCAGAGGCTAAGTCTTTTCGTTTGACAGTGACGGTACAGAACTGATGCCTACGCTTATTATGATTGAATATGGTAATTTTATTAACAGGTGGCAACCCTATAAAAAAAAAAATATTAGTGCTTTTCTAGAGGCCAATCCCTTTCAATTGACACCTCATCTTTTGTAATCCAATGAACGGTGCGGATCTTATAGTTTTTTAGACAGGTGGTAACCCTATTAAAATTCTAAGTAAAAAGATCCCTCTACTATCGATACAGAGTATATTACAGAAAAACTCCTCAAAATCCGTTCAGTAGTTTTCGAGATTACCGCGTACAAAAAATCTCGACTTTCCTTTATACTATGTATAGAAGTATGCAAATATGCATATCACAAGAAAGGGGGTTTGATCGCGTTTACAACAATATCAACCATCTAAAAAGCGGTTAGTAATTTTTTTGTTTGAAATTTTTTTTTTATGTATTGTAACGTAATGTATTTTTTCATTTAAATGTGTTTTTTTCTAAAATTTTTATAAACGAAGTATACAAATATGCATATCGGGAGAAAGGGGGTTTAATCACCTTTACAACGTTATAAATAAAAATTGTTTGAAATATAAGGAATTTTTTTTTCGAAGACCTGAAATTTGACCCCTTATAGCACCTGTAATATAAGTTTGCACAAAAAAGTTATATACCATTTATATAAGAGCAAAAGGAGGACTACGCCTGTATCTTTAGGTTTTTGGTTATTTACATGCAATAAATAAATATAATTTTTTACCAAAGGTCCTATTTCGAACTTGAATGGCCCATATCTCGATTTCGGAGGAGGCTAACTTCGAAAAACGGAGAAATCACTTTTGCACCTATGATTTAATCTCTTAAAAAAAATTGTTTTGGTCCAATACCCAGATAAAAAGTTGATATTGCCGTACACTGTTATTATAAACTATTTTAAAGGCATGTATATCCTATTCTCAGATCATATTCGATCTTTGAAGTCGAGTCAAAAATAGTCATCCAAAAACTCGTAAACCTACAAAACCATGTTTTCTGACGTAAATCGACAGGTCGCGACCTCTAAATGACCTTTAAAAAATTTATAAAAACAGGCAATAATATTTCTCAAAAACGAATAAATTAAGGGGATAGGGTCATGAAATTTCCAAAGTAAAACATTTTCGATGGGGCAACCTACATTTTACATATGTATATCAAAGTCACGATGTAGAAAATAAAGCTGACGCCATCCACGGACCGCCAACCCTACGTCGATTTGACAGCATCCACCTGTTCGCTGATGTGGTTTAAAATTCATACTTGCCGAATTTTAACATCCCACAAATCAGATCTTGACTCGCTCAAATTTTTTCTTTACGCCAACTTAATTTAGCACGTTTTAATGTCATAGCCATTTGAAGTTCTTTTGCAAGACTTTACCATACGTCTCCGTAGAGCAAAAGCTCTATTTAACTTGCCAAATAGAGCGTAAAGCTGGCGTAGAATTTTCGATCTAGTTGCAATGGACTGTGAACACGGCGAAAAACTCTCGCTAAATAACTCTCACGTAACAGTGTAGGTGAGTCTCTCCTAGAGCTTTATTGAGTGTTTACAAGTCTCCGTGTACACTTAGCTTAACACTTATAGTCTAAGGCACGGTGCACATTAGAGCGATACGATATGCGATGCGATATGCGATATGCGATACGATACGCGATGCGATATGCGATACGATACGCGATGCGATATGAAATGCGCGCAGTGCACATTAGAGCGATGCGATACGCGATGCGACATGCGATGCGACACGCAATACCATTTGCGGTATGATAGCTACACAAACGTTTGTGTCCTTATAAGCTTGTTAATGAGTTAAATGAGTTGCTTCGCAACCGAGTTTAGACCTTTCGAATGATGGGTCTATGTTTATATCTATACACGTTTAAAAAATTCAAGAGAAAAGTATGTTTAATATCGAGTAAAACTGATGTTTATTTTTACAAAGTCGGCTAAAAATTAAATGAGATATTCAAATTCTCATGACAAATTATTTCAGAATATTGCGTTCACTACAAGGAGAAATCGGTGAAAGCTGAATTAAAAAAAAGGTTAAGCAAAAATTTTCGAGTTGTATAGCCAAAAATATTCTTTTTCTTATGAAAGGTTGAATAACTTTACCCCCATTTTTTAAAGTAAAAATCACTATATATTAAATGTTAATTTTGCATCAATTCAGGAGTAATATAGTTTCTTTATAAAATAGTGCGTGAAAACTTTGCCAAATTTAAAAATATACGAAAAAAATTAACACAGAAAATACACACAGATCTCTTAATTCATTAATTCGAAAGGTCTTAACTCGGTATATGGTCAACTGAGTTACAAGCTTATAAGTGCGAAAAACTGGTTTTTTAACAGTAAATCAAGATTGTGTGTGTGTGTGACAAAAATTTCGTATCTCGATTCTTACTTCACTCGGCAAAACCTACCTGAAAAATAACATGACTTACCAGGTATTTTTACTTCATTATTT